TGTGTGTGTGCGCATGTGTCTGTGCGTGTGCCTCAGGTGTGTTTCTCTTACATAGTGGTATTTCTTATTATCATCATCTTCTCATATTGATATGTGAGGCAGCGTGGTGGAATCAGGCTCTCGTCAATTTTTGGGCATATTGAGTTATTGGTATCGTCTTTAAGCTTGTTCATTTGTCTTGCTTTCAATGAAAAAATTACCCATCCATCTTCAATAGAAGTCGAGATATTTTGGATTGAAGGAGGTGGGGGTCACCTGATTTAAATGGTAAAATTAGTGAGAAAATGGCCACCAAAACTAGGTAAATTCCAAAGCTGGAGAGTCCATGGAAACTGTAAATTTATATTTTTGTGCCTTTAATTAACGTTTTCGGTGAAAGCCTCAAAAGAATGTGTTTGTAAATGGACATAAAAGGTGTTGAGGAAAAAAAAAAAATTTGATGAAAATTGTAAAGCAGGGAGAAAACTGCTGTTTTCTTTTATTTCATTATTTTGACGAGAGCCTGATTCCACCACGCTGCCTCACATATTGTATTCTCATCACTGCGTTGATATAGTCATTATAGTTTTTGTGGTGCAATCAAAAACATTGATGCTTGACTCTTTTCTGCCTCTTCTTCTACTCGCACCAGACACTTATGCTGGTATGGTCGAACCTGCTCAAATGGCCACCTGTCCCTGACGAACACCGGTACAAATAACTTTCCCCCTTACATTTTTTTTTCTTCTAAATTATAATGAAGCAGTCCAAGACATCCACTTGTCTTAGACAATCACGTTTTTTCTTGGCAATGATGGTTGCCTCGGACAATTTTGACTATTTTGTTTCTCCCAAGTTTTCTGATTATTACAGTGCTAATGTCCAGATTGTTTGTGTCTCCTGCAGAATACCGTCTGTACACTGTGACCCCACGCCTGGTCAAGTTCATTGATCAGCTGACCAACTGGTATCTCCGCATGAACCGGAGGAGGTTAAAGGTAAGTTTTTCATGTTGTTCCAGACTCGTGTAATGGCACGTGTATGAAATGTTAGTGTTGCAAATACTGGAATACTCTTATTAAAAATGAAACAGAGACTCATGTTAGGCAGGAACTAAGTGTCAGCAGCTGAAAGCTATTGCCAAATTCCTTGATTTGAGCAAACATTGGCAATGACAATTTTTATTCATCTCCCAGGTAGAAATTTGTCTTGGCCGTTATAATGACCTCATCACCACAAGAGCAGTGCCATTGCAAAGTAGATTTTGGACATAACACACCGGAATATGTTCAATATTTGCAGGCAGGATGGAAGGCTGTTATTTGAATGGCTCTGGGTTTTTAAAAAACTATTTGTGACATTTTGGCCTAAACAGAATTTAATGAGAATGTCAACAGTACATTAAAAAATTTTTTTAAAAAATAATGTCACAAAATTTAAACATTACTCAAGTCTCCATATTGTCAGCTAGCTGTTAAATTGTATGAAACCCAGAAAGTAAAATTTTATAGAAGAGAGAAAAAAACAGTCTCATTCTTATAACAATTGTACCCACATTGTCTTTTTTAAAATACTTTTTTCTACATAAAGAACTTGGATTTCGACAAAATATTCCTAGAGCACATGCAACCAATACCGAAGATTAAGAAACTGAATTTTTAAAAAAAATTTCAAAATGCTTTTGGGCTTCATACATTTTAACAGCTGGCTGATGATATACTTTTTCCTTTAACTTTTGGTACTTACAAGAATGCTTCCACTTGCCATTGCAGGGTGACACGGGCAGAGAGGACTGCAGGAAGGCCTTGGAGACTCTGTGCTCTGTCATCTTCTCTATCTCTAGGATGATGGTGAGTTGGTAGTCTTAGTGCGCTGTCATCTTCTCTGTCTGTAGGATGATGGTGAGTTGGTAGTCTTAGTGCTCTGTCATCTTCTCTATCTGTAGGATGATGGTGAGTTGGTAGTCTTAGTGCTCTGTCATCTTCTCTATCTGTAGGATGATGGTGAGTTGGTAGTCTTAGTGCTCTGTCATCTTCTCTATCTGTAGGATAATGGTGAGGGCTTCCTTAGTCATCTTCTCTATCTGTAGGATGATGGTGAGTTGGTAATCTAGTGGGCTTCCTTAGTCATCTTCTCTATCTGTAGGATGATGGTGAGTTGGTAGTCTAGTGGGTAGTCTTAGTGCTCTGTCATCTTCTCTATCTGTAGGATGATGGTAAGTCGCTGGTATAGTGGGTAGACTCTCTGACTCTTCAGGGATACCCTGTGATGTAATCGGCTCTCTAAAGAATATTTGATAAGCCCACAGATGCTACCATTATAGGTGGGCGCATTTCAAAGTGGAGGGGGTGGGGCATGCTCCCCATTTATGTTTGTGTGTGTGTGCGACCATGGCATTGTATGTGTGTCACCATGGTAATATGTGTGTGTATGACCATGGTAATGTGTGGGCATGCTCCCCATAATATGTGTGTGTGAGTAACCATGAGAATTTATGTGTGTGTCCCCATGGTAATGCATAAATGTGTGTGTGTGTTCCAGGCTCCATTCACCCCGTTCCTGACAGAGACCATCTACCAAGGCCTGAGGAAGATGCTGGACCTGTCCGGGGAGACAGATGCCAGGAGCATCCACTTCCTCATGCTGCCCAAGCCGAGGTAAACACGAGCGACGAGTTCTTTCTTCTTTGTCGTCATCACTGCCTTTTTTTCCGTTCATGTTACCATTTTCAGGACAAGCCTTTTGATATGTGAGGTGTGCAGACAAAATGAGTTTCTTCTCGCAATCCACAAATGAAGAGACTGGCCGAAAATCGACACTAGGGTCAAATTTTTAGATTTTCAATTGATGTCATATTTTCAGTTTAACATGCTTTTTAATATTTCATGCTTTCATAAATTGTGAAAACTTCCCCTATAAGCCTGATGTGTCTATTTCCCCTGGGCTCAGATTCGAGAAGTAACTCATTTTGTCAGCTCACTCCACACATTATTCCATGTCTTCCCACTTTTCTATACTGTACATCGTACTCTGAGACTCTTCTCCTGGTTCCACTTTGTACTGTGTGTCTACAGTCGTTTATGGTGACAATAGAATAGGTGGACAACACAGGACGAGTGGAACAACAGATGATGGGAAGTCCAGAATGTTTCGGAGTGTTCTTTTCGGTAATATTGTAGATTATTAAGCACATAAAGCTTGCTGTTTAGCAGGAATATGCGCTGTACTAATGCTATTTTTTATTATTATTATGATTATTATTAGTATTATTATTATAATTATTGTTATTATTATTGTATCATTATTATCTTTGTTTATTGTTGTTATTAAGACGGAAAGTGATGGAAATGGAAAATTGTGACTATTCCTCTTGTGGCAAATGACGTTTTGCCCCCACACTCTTCACGTCTTTCATCTCTGTTCTCGTGTACTCGCAGGGAGCAACTGATCCACCAGAAGATAGAGACGGCCGTCTCCCGCATGCAGAGCGTCATCGAGCTGGGCCGAGTCATCAGAGACAGGAAAACTCTGCCGGTGAAGGTGAGCGGCTCTCTGGCTTTTTAAAAACTTTGATTTATTGTTTTAGTAAGAATTTTACGGCACTTTTCAACACAAAAAGTAAGGTCATATAAGTGCTGAAGATTAGAGGTGTTGCAAGAGAGTTTAGTTTTAGTAAGAGTTCTACAACACTTTCAACACAATGAGGACATATAAGTGCTGAAGATTAGAGGTGTTAGTAGAGAGAAACATGCAGAGAAAAGAAGGAACAGAGATAAGGCTGATAGATGTTTGATAGGAAAGAAGGAGCAAACTACCCCTGAGCACTCATCAACAACCCACTTCTCAACTTCTTTGCCATGCTGTAAATGTCATGAAAATTACACATTTTTATTTGTATTTATTCGCAATAATTTCATGACTAATGGTTAATAATGTGAAAATACACATTTTTATTTTCGCTAATTTGCATGCATTTGTAATATACATGTTCATTTGCCACAGTCAGTTTGTTACATAATCTTTATCCTACTGGAGTTTTGGAGACTGATTTTTTTGGTTACATCATCTTTAATCTACTGGAGTTTTGGAGACTGATCCCCCCCCCCCCCCCACACACTCCCTATTTTTAGTGAAGATTCCTGAGGAAAGCTATTTCAGGTCTGCCACTTCAGAGTGTTATTTTCATTGCTCTTCTTCTGTTTCCACAGTATCCTTTGAAAGAGGTGGTGGCCATTGTAAAGAACCAGGAAGCGAAAGAGGATCTCGTCTCCTTGGAGAAATACATCTTGGAGGTGAGAGAAAGTTTATCGATTAAAGTCTACAAAGTACCTCCCCTCTTCATCCTCCTCCTCTTCCTCTTCCTCCTCCTCCTCCTCGTCCTTCTCCTCCCTCAAGCGCCATATCTGAAACAGACATAGACAGGCAGGGTTCGTCACTAATTTTGCTCCTCGGATGCTCTCAACAGGGATGCCAAATCTCTGGTTATTCCGGCTTATTCCGGTTTTTTCTTACTCTTACAAAGGAAAGGGGAATGGTAAGAGAAATGTTTTTGTTTGTTCATTTAAAGATTTTACAAAGTACGTTTTAGGTGAGATGTGACGCTCCGCTCATTTTCAGGGTTTTTTTAAAAAAAATAATAATTTGGCTTCCCAATCTCAAAAACCTTATTATCCAAGCCTTTTCCCATCACCCACCTGATAAAGTTCTCTCAGTAAATTGTTCTTGGTCTACCTTTTCCTCTTTTGCCTGGTGTCCAGTGGGATCATAATAGAAACCAAAGGAAGTGAAAGGCACTTTACACGAATTTTCCTCACTTCACCCCGGTGGGAATGGGTACCTAGCTATAGACAGTGAAGGGTCTTGCCAGTTTATTAGTGTTTGAGCGCATAATCAACCACTTGCACTGTTTGCTTCCCGGGAAGCTGAGAATGTTTCTGAGTGTTCTATGGTCTGCTGGGGTAATAACAATAGTGTAAAGCGCATAGAGCTTGCTGTAGAGGGGGGGCTATACAAATGCTTTTTTAAAATTATTATTAAGTGTTAAGCTTTTCCTGACTGGAACAATCTAATATGTTATTGTCTCCTCCTTCCCAACCCCCCCCCCCCCCCCCCCAGGAACTGAACGTCCACAAACTGACGGTGACCCTGGACAAAGACCAGTACGGCGTGCGTCTCCGGGCTGAGCCAGATCACCGACAGCTGGGTCAGAAGTTGACCTCTGCCCTCGGGACGGTCACTCCGGCCATCAAAGCTCTGACTGACGAGGAGATTGAGAAGTGGGTGAAGCTGTCTCCTCTACTAAGCGTTTGGTTTTGTTTTGTTTGGGTTTTTTAAAAATAAGATGGTAAAATGACTGCCCCATACCTGTTCCTTTTTTCCTATCAAAGGTTTGTCATCAAATGTCTTTCCTCCTTTTCGTTGCATTATTTTTACTTTCTGTTAACACCTCTGATCTCCAACACTTATATGACTTTATTTGTTTTGCAAGTGCTGTAAAACGTTGACTGAAGCTGAAACTTACCGTTTTCCCCTTTTTGTTTTTCTACATAATAATGACGCTGTTGACCTAAGATGATCACCTTTCTCCTCGACAATGCAGGACCTCAGTGCTTTCTTGTCGTATCTCCTTTTTTTTAAATATTAGAAATGTGACTTCTTCTTAAGCTCACTCTTTGTTATGAACTGTTTTCACTGTTCAAAAAGATGGAGATACGACAAAAAAGCACTGAGGTCGCAAAGGGGTGGTCTTCTTGGACAGTATCATTCGTACATCTTTGAACTTTTCCTTTTTTTTTCTTTTCCTCCAGATTCCAAGCTGAAGGCACCATCGAGGTCAAAGGGTACACCCTGGAGACAGGAGATCTGCGTATCTTGTACAACTTTGACAAAGAGGGAGATACGCCCCAGCACTACGATGCTCACTCTGACGGCAAGGTGAGTGTGTGTGTGTGTGTGTTTGTTTGTCTGTCTCTGTGTCGTCCATCAGTGCTTTTTGTTGTTTGTTGATTTAAAAGATAATAATTTTTTTGTTCCTTCTTTCCTATCAAATATCTATCATCCTTATCTCTCCTCCTTCTTTTCTTTGTATGTTACTCTCCAGTAACACCTCTAATTTTCGGCTCGAACATGACCTATTTGTGTTGCAAGTGCAGCAAAACTCTTACTAAAACTAAAATTGGAGGGGGGGAGTCTGCCAGATTTGCACTGAAATTTTTTTTTTAAATTATTTTTTATTTTTTTACTTTGGAGGGGTTGCAAAATGGAAGAAATTCTCTTCTGTTTTCTTTCTTTTTTTTCTCCATAAGTATTGATTCTTGGATTAAAGCTCTCGTGCTACCATCTAGACTGCTCGCAAGAGACCTGAGTTTGATTCCCAAGCGGGGAGAATTTGTATCAAGTATCTTGGTCTTTTTGCTTGGATGTTGAATCCCTATCAGCCTAGGTTGGCCCCGACGGGCAGGGTCAAAGCCGGCCTCCGAAAATGATTTAGATTGTATTGATGAGGGGGCGTAAAATAGCCACATTAAAAAAAATATTTTAAAAACCGAAAAAATGACCTACATTTTAAAAGAATAAAAATGAAAAAAATTGTTATCCCTCTCTCTCTCCAGATCCTTGTTCTACTGGACACCCAGCCAGATGAGAGCATGCTGAACCAGGGGGTGGCAAGGGAGGTCATCAACAGGGTACAGAAGCTCAGGAAGAAGGTGGGTTACGGTTCTTGAGCTTCTTTTGTCCCTCAACTCTTCCACTTTTTGCTGGATATTGTACTTTTTTTTTGGTTGTTGTTTTTGTTTTTACCCAGTGAAGAAAATCCCCCACATCCACCCAAACCACTCGCATGCACACTCACACTTTCACACACACCCGCATACACACACACACACACACACACACACACACATTCACAGATACACACACACACACCACTCACACATACACACTCTCACATACACACCACTCACACTCACAGTAATTCGCACACACACTCTCACTCACTCTTATGCATATTCACACACACACACACACACACACACACACACACACACGCACTTACTCACACACACCCCCACCCACACACACACACACACTCACTCACCCACACACTCCCACATACTTTCTTAAGTAACTTATAATCAATATGAGCCTGGTTTATGGTGAACAGAACTCTCATTGTTCTTTGTTTTTTGACTGGCTGCTCCTGGAAGTCCAGAGTGCTCTGAAATAACTCCTTTGTAACTGTGAAACTTTAGGAGTTTAGAAAAAACAACCTAACTTAATAGTGCTCAAAGAAAAGCTTGTGTAACAATGAAAGTTCAGGAGTTTACAAGAAAAAACCTGCAAACTTGAAAGTGCTTTAGAAATATGCCTGTGTTACCATGAAAATTCAGTATTAAAAAAAAACCCCTACAACAAAGACTGTTAACTTAAAAAGTACCAAAAAAAATGAAAAATACTGTTTTACTGTGAAAGCTCAGGGGTTAAGAAAAAAACTACAGACTACAGCTGTTTTTGCCATTTTGGAGAAAAGATTCTCAGACAGAGTGCAGTCTTTAGAATGTGGTGTGTGACCTTTCTCTGTTAGTGTTGGAAACTTCTACTGAAGCAGTGATATAGAGTGTGTTGAATGGGCCGTAAAACTTCTACAGCTACATTTATAGTACTTGGTTTGTGGTTTGTGGAGATTTGTTCTGATAATATTCACAAGTTTTGTGGAGGAAGCTGGACAAAGATTTTGTCACTATGCCAAAGTCGCGTTCCTCATCTTCTAGAGTAAGTACTCAATAATTATAATTTGTAATAGAATCTAGACTATATATGACATTTATATGGCGCTCTACCCCAAATAAATAACACAGGCTCTGAGCTCTTTACAAATACAGGTATCAACGTTTTAACGGAAGGACTTCCGTAACGAGCGACCCCCCCCCAACAAAAACAATAAAGAAGAGATCTAAACCTAACTCTGACCCAACCCTTACCCTTACCCCTACCTCTACCTTTACCCCTACCATTACCCCTACCCTTACCCCGAACCCTAGCCCTAACCCTAAGCTTAGCCTCTATTCTACTCTATTTCATATTGGTCGCTCGTTACGGAATTAATAATAATAATAGATAGCATTTGTATAGCGCATATCCCCGCTCAACAGCAGGCTCTATGCGCTTTACACAATATTATACTTTACACTATGGAATTCCTCCCATTTTAACAGCTAGCTGACGATTTTTCTCTCGCCTCTTAAGTGGTCTGAACAGCGTTGATGGGGCTTAAAAAGTCTGCAATCTTTTCTTTCTTTTTAAAAAATTTTCTTTTTGTTCCTTTTTTCCATTTTTTTCTTTTCTTAAAAAATTTTTTTTTTCTTTCCCCCCCTCCAATCCAGGCCAAGCTCCAGCCCACAGACAACATCGAGGTGTACTACCGGGCGGCCAAGAAGCTGGTGGCCATCATTGAAGAGTTCTCCGAGTTCATTAACTCCACGGTGAAACAACCGCTCAAAGCTTACCCCGTGCCTGACTCGAGGGAGAAGATTATCACAGAGTCTATGCCCGTGAGTGTGTTGTTTGTGTGTGTGTATGTGTCTGTGTGTGCGTGTGCATTTACATGTGCGCGTGTGTCTGGTTTTTAAAATTTATGTCCTTTTCTGTCTGTCTTTTGCTGATGGTTGGAGGAAGATATTTTCCTTGTTTTTTTGTGTGTGTGTTTGTTTATAATTATTAAGTTCATGTGTGCTTGGAGAAAATATTCCAATAGCTCTTGTATATCGCGACCCCAGTGCTTTCTTGCCATATCTACATTTTTAATAACAGTGAAAACAGTTCATAAGTAAGAGTGAGCTTAAGAAGATGTCACATTTTCATTGTTTAAAAAATGGAGATACTACGAAAAAGCACTGAGGTCGCGATATGTATATGTAATCAAGAACAGTAACATATTTGCCTTCCCCATGATTTTAAATTTTAGTTATTACTTCCCTTGGATCGCAATTGCTTTGCAGGTGCTCTGGTGTGGTCTGCTTCTTCTTTCCCATCAAACATCTATCGTCCTTATCTCCCCTCTTCTTTTCTTTGTATGTTACTCTCTAGTAATATCTGTGATCTTTGACACTTATATATGAGCTTGTGTGTGGTAAGGGCCATAAAACTCTTAGCAAACTACCAACTAACCAAATGGTTTATTTCTCAGATCAAGACAGACGACCTTGAGATCACCATCACCTGGTCGGAGGGCGGCAAGCGAGAAATCTCCCCTGCCAAGGTTCCAGCGCAGCCGTCCTCCTTAACGGCGGGGGCTGGCGACGCCCTGCAGACTGACCTGGCTCCTGCCCCCGCAGTGGCCGGGGTGACCCCCAACTCTCGCTTCGTCAACGCTGTGCTGGTTGGTTTGCGAGCGGGTCAAGGTCGCTCGGGCTCGATGGCCACTATTCTGTTGGACAACCCCGCTGGGAGCAATGGTCTCACCATGACTTTGCTGGTGGAGCAGGTGAGGATTTGGAATATAATATGTGTCACGACGTGGTGGAACCAGGCTCTCGTCAATTTTGGGCATGTGGAGTTAGTTATTGGTGTCATCTTAAAAGCTTGTTCAGTTGTCTTGATATCGGTGAAAAAAAATGCCCATTTATCTTGAATAGAAGTCGAGATATTTGAGATTGAAGAAGGTGGGGTCGCCTGATTTCGAACGTAAAATTACTGAGAAAATGGCTGCCAAAGTTTAGTTATTTCCATAGCTCGATAGTCCTTGGAAATGGAAAACTTACATTTTTTGGTGCCTTTAATCAGCGTTTTTTCTGTAAAATCCACCCAGAAATGTGTTCTTAATTGGACAACAATGATGTTAAGCCAAAAAACAAAAACTCGATAAAAATTCCCAAACTGGCAGAAAAATGCCATTTTCTTTAGTTTCTCTATTTTGACGAGCACCTGATTTCATCACACTGCCTCACATATAGGTGATCACCCTCACAAACTGTGGAAGTCTGAAAGTGCGATTATCATGTTTGCCAGAAAAAATGCGCGGGTGGTTGGAGGGTGCCAGTGGTAAGTCCTGCTTCTTTTCCTTTACTCTGTTGTTTCTGTCTATCTGTCTTGCTTCTTTGCTATGCTATATGACCATTGTTGTGTCAATGTGCTTCTCTTTATGAAAAAGAGACCAGAAAATGCATATAACAACGCACTTGGCAAAATACATGCACATGGAACAGATATTCAAGTCCCTGATTTGTCCTTATGTATGTGTATCCTTTGCATTTACAAGCTTGTACATAGCAAACTTGATATATAAAAAAATGATTTCCGACTCCTTCCGATTTCTCAGTGGGTGGTTGGCAGGTGCTCTGGTGTGGTTTGCTTCTCCTTTCCTATCAAACATCTATCATCCTTATCTCCCCTTCTTCTTTTGTATGTTTGTTACTCTCTTGTAACACCTCTAATCTTTTGGCGCTCATATGACCTTATGCAGTTGCGAGCGCCGTAAAACCTCTACAAAAACTAAAACCGATTTCTCAATATGCCTTCCAGACATTATAATATATGTCGATATGTATTGCACCTTGCCATACATTTTGTCATTTTCATTCAATGAACTTGCACCATATTTAGACATGATGTCGAAGTATACAAAAACTAAACTAAACTGTTGTCATACTGTTGTTGATTCGCGACTCACTAAATACAATCTCTGTTTTCTCTCTCCCCCCCCCCCCCCCCCCCCCCAGGCTCAGTGTGTGTTTGGCCTGAGAGGTGTCAACATTTCCCTCTTCTCCGACGCGGCTCTGAAACAACCACTCAAGCCCGACGTGAAGCTGGACTCTCTTGCCAAAAAGACCATCTACGTGGCACTCTCGTCGCCAGGATCCTCCGGTGGTCAGAGCTCTGCTAAGGTGGTGGACAGACCGGTGTGCCATTTTGCCAACGTGGAGGGCAAAGGCAAGAAGGGGACGTTACTGCTGGAGAACCCGCGTGGAGACGTTTTGTCCCTGGCTGAGCTCCAGGCACAGGTACCCAGCTTGTCTTTCTTCTTTAAAAAAAATATTTTTAAACAAAATGTAATATGAATTTTTATTGAACTGTTGAAAACCCCTGCCAGTTATAATTATGATAATAATAATAATATTAATTGTAAAGATAATATTAATTAAGAAGATAATAATAATAATAATTGCATTTATATAGCTCAAATTAAGTTTAAGGCTTAATTCGTTCCAACATTTTGTCTCTATGTAAGACTTTTTACACGGATTTTCCCATTTGACATAAATGTTGTAAGCACCATAAAACTCTCCTTAGTTTTAGTTTTAGTACGAGTTCTATAGTACTTGGAACACAATTAGGTCATATAAGTGCCGAAGATTAGAGGTGCTATTGGTGCTCATCTGACCTTATGCAGTTGCAAGCGCCGTAAAACCTACTAAAACAACAGAGGTGCTACTAGAGAGTAACATACAAAGAAAAGGAGGAGAGATAAGGACGATAGATGTCAGATACGAAAGAAGGAGCGAACCACATCAGAGCACCCAGCAATCACCCGCCAATAAAACTCTTACTAGAATTAAATCTAAAACGCCTGTAATGTTCCGTGTTGCAGGCAGCGGCCGTGTTGAACAGCTCGACCCGCGTCCAACTGAGCGCCAAGAAGGACAAGTCTGGCGTCCTGACCAGCTCCGCATCGGCCGATATCCTCGCCCTTCACGGCAAAACCTTGACTGTCTTGTGAGGGACGTTGCGCTGTAGTGTTTCCTTTTGTCTGACAAATATGTTTGGGTCAGATTGTTGACTTTCATGTTCTTCTTGTTGTTATGCTGTTGGTCTGTGTGAGTGTGTGTGTGTGTGTGTGCGGCAGTTGATTTTTATTTTTTCTGTGGAATGTTTCTAGAGTGTTCCTTATGTCTGACAGAATGTTCTAACTGTTGGGTTAGGGTGTGGGGCAGATGGTTTTATTTTTTTCTGTGGAATGTTTCTTGAGTGTTCCTTATGTCTGACAGAATGTTCTAACTGTTGTGTTAGGGTGTGGGGCAGATGGTTTTATTTTTTTCTGTGGAATGTTTCTATGACGTTCATTGTGTCTGACAAATATGTGTAAGGTTCACATTGTTGACTTTAATGTTCACACTGGTATGTTGTGGATCTGTGTGTGTGGCAGTCGGTTTTATTTTTCTAATGTTTCTAAAATGCTCTAAGGAGTACGTGTAGATCAGAAGTTTCAAACTCAAAGTACCCTTGGGTCATTGGAGGTGGCATCGTGTATTCCACTAACGAACAAAAAGGTTACTTATACTTACATATATATTTTTTAACACTACAACTGATCTTATCTTCTCAATCTTAATGAAAAGCAGTTCAAAACATGGAGAGTTCTATGGTAGCCCAAAAGTGATTAAAAATATAAAGATCCAGGACAACACATCAGCATGAAAGTACATGTGATATGACCTTACACAGTTGCGAGCGCCGTAAAACCCTATACTACTACTACTTAAGTACATGTGAGATAAAATGTACTCAGCTTTAACATCAAGTCAGGGCTGCATCATATCATCCTGCTGGACTCCGTTAGCCTGGGAGCCATGAGTTTGAGACACCTGGTCTAGAGAATGGATAGTTTGTGTTTTTGTTTGAGGCGTAGGATTAACCGAGAAGGAAATTGTTTTCATTTGTTTGTGACATTTTTCACTGATGATGTTGACTGTGAGTGCTGTGTAAGCAGCTGGTTTTGTGATGAAAGCGAGTGGCATATGTTCCAGTCTATGATACTTAAGTGTTGATAATATTTTAATATTTGCACTTTCTTTTATAGGTACTTTGACTTTCTTGTTAGACTTGAGGTTTGCTTAGTCTGCTAGCGATGATATGTAGGATTAGAGTCAAGTTTACTGGCTGAGTGTCTTTTTTTTTCCTTATTTTATTTATTCATCATTCTATGCTTTAAAATCTTACATATATTAGTATTAGGCTTTTGAGTACTTTGTTGAGTTAAAGTTAAATGATTCCGACAGATTTGTAGTTCTACCACTCTGGCAGAGTGCTGGTTTTGTTTCACGATATTTTGGGTTTTTCGTGCCCTGAATTTTGTTTCTTTGCCAAGCACATCTTGACCTGATTTGACAGTGCAGTGCCCTTTGTGGTACCAGTGTAGTAGCTCATTGAAAAATAATAGTGAGCAAGAGACAACTGCAGTTTTTAGTTAGGTCACTAGACCAACATCTGTGACCGAGGTCTGCTGTAGATCTGGCCTTTCACGATGAGTACCTTGTAGGGATGCCAAATGTCCGGTTTTTCCCATTTTTTTCCATCCGTTGGAATAGGGGAGAGGTAAGACAATATGTTTTTGTTTGCTCATTTAAAAGCTTTACAAGGTTCGGTTTAGGTGAGATATGATGCTCCGCTCATTTTCATTTAAAAAAAAAAATCATTTGGCAGCCCTGACCTTGTGACTTGGGCAGTGTGGTGTGCAGTTGATCGAGCAGTAAATGCACAGGTTTTTAGGTGCAGTCGTCCTTTTGCCTTTTGGCTCAAGGGGGATAGGGTAGGACTGGCCAGGGCTCAAAGGGTTCATGATTATGTTCTTGGCCTTACAAACAAGAGGCTCAAGATCAGTTCCTGAATGGGACATATATTGTTAATGAATTTTTTTTTCTTTTAAACTGTAATTGTAATATAGATCTGTCTCTTACGGTAGCCTTGTTTGGCCCTGATATAATATTGGATTAGAACAGTTGGTTCCTATATGGGTTACTCCCGAGATAACTGATTATCAAACTCTTGCCCTTTATTTTGCTTTTTGTTAGTTTTTTTTTGTTGTTCTTTCTCCGAGTTGGATAATGTATCCATACCTTTGCTGTGCTTGGTTCTTTTTTTTAAAATGACTAGATCTAGTCTATTGTCGTCTATCCTAGAATTTGAGCCAGTATTTTATTTGTTCTGTCATGTTCTCACTGAATTTGTTCAATTCTCATAGCGTTTGTCCCATTTGTTCAATTCTCACTTCTTCTTCCTCGTTCTCAAAGTTCAATTCTCACTGAATTTGTTCAATTTGTTCTCAAATTTAAAACTTATTTGACGGAGTGTCAGTCCCAGCATCTGTGATGTAGCAGCTAGAGGCTTCGCTGTCACATGCAGAAGATGTGAGTTTGATTCCCATGTGAAGAGAATTTTTATCAAGTATCTCAATTGTTCTGCTTGGGGACATTGTATCCTTCTCAATCCGGTTTGTCATTGACAAGCAGGGTCAAAGCAGCCTGCCGTCTAAATGATCCAAATTGTGTCGATGAGGGTGTAAAATGTCTACTGTTACAGTAACAATTTAGAGCGTCTGTCTCACAGTTTTGAGATTGGTTTCTTTTCCTTAAAAAACCCTTTGTTTCTGTTAGTAAATCCTGTGACTATGATTTATACGTTATTTATGAAGTTGAATGATGACTGTATGTGTTTCTGAACTGTCGCGCTATCCTTGGTCTGAAATCATTAAAGGAAAATGATAAAAAGATGCGATTGGGTTATGTTATTATTTGTGATATAGCAGTTAATCTTACGGGTTACTGCGATAGATGGCCGCGTGCTCTAGTGAGGTTTGCTCCTTCTTTCCCATCAAACATCTATCGTCTTTATCTCCCCTCCTTCTTTTTTAATATGTTTGTTATGTTTGTTACTCTCTTGTAACACCTCTAACCTTCTTGCACTCATATGACCTTATGCAGTTGCGAGCGCCTTAAAACCTCTACTAAAACTAAAACTAATAACTTTACTCAAATTCGAACTCTCTTGTAGAAAATCGTATTTTCGATAGGCCTACTTGTATAATATCAAATATGTTGCAAGTGCCGTAAAAGTCCTGATTTTTAAAAAAGCATGTAAGTTTGACAAGTGAGTCACCTTGCGAATTTGATTAAAACTGCTTTCGAAAAAAAGATAACTGTTGATAGATGGTTGGAGAGCTCCACTGATAGATCCTACTTCTTCACTGTCTCTCTTTTTCTTTTTGGCTGTTTGTCTCCCCCTTTTTTCCCCTAGCACTAAACTGCCGATATTGATTCGGTGTGCTTCTCTTTACTCAAATTCTACTGTGATATTATGGTTAGTCACTCCATCTTACATAGAAAAGAAGTGAGTTTAATTCCCACGTGGGGATAATATAGTTTTATCCGGCTTTTCCGTTTTTCGCTTCCACACACAACCTTCCGGCGTCTGTGGTGCAGCGGTTAAATGCTTGGTCGTCTAACGCACACGATTAGTTCGATTCCCGAGTAAGGAGGAACATTTTTATCGAGTATCTCGGTCTTTCTGCTGGGATGTTGTGTCCCTCTCAGCCTGGCCAGGCCCCGGCGGACAAACATCGGTGTGACGTGTACAGCTTAAATCGTACTATCGGCTGTCATGATCTCTTTCTGAAACCAATTTAGGAGTTTTACTCATTTTGGCTAATACGTACCACGGTTAAGACGTTGAACATATTGGGTCCGAGGTTTTACTGAATATTATTAATGGTTAAGGTTGATTTGCCGTATAAACCCACCCTCTAAAGCCGTAAGCCAAATCTGGAGGAAGAAAAAGGAAAAAGCACAAAAAGCTATTTATCACGTTTCGACGAATCTCATTGGTGAGGCGGCGTGGTGGAATCAGGCTCTCGTCAATTTTTGGGCATGTAGAGTTATTGGTATCCTGTTAAAGCTTGTTCAATTATCATTATTTGTATGAAAAGAATATCCATTTATCTTGAATACAAGTCGAGATATTTGCGAATGAAGGAGGTGGGGGTCACCTATTTTCAGAGGTAAAATTAGTGAAAAAAATGGCCGCCAAACATTAGTTATTTCCTTAGCTTAAGAGTCCTTGGTGACTGAAAATTTACATTTTCTGTACCTTTAATCCACGCTTTTCAGAAAAATCCGCACAGAAATGAGTTCTTTAATGGGCATGAAAGGTGTTGAGCCAAAGAAACAAAAATTTGATAAAAATTCACAAACCTGAGGAAAAACGCAGTTTCCTTCATTTTGATTATTTTGACGAGAGCCTGATTCCACCAGGCTGCTTCACGTTGTAGTTGTGTCGGGACCCATGCCACCCATGAGTCACACCATAAAATACTAGCTGGGCCCCCTTTCGATGAAAGGAATGATCAGTGCATTCACATCAACTGAAAGTCATTGGCCTACTGTATTTACACTCTACTGGAAAGGAACGATTATCTGGAAAGGAAAGAAGTCGCCATAATAATAATAATATAATAGATAGCATTTGTATAGCGCAAATCCCCGCTCAACAGCAGGCTCTATGCGCTTTACACTATATTATTACCCCAGCAGACCATAGAACACTCCGAAACATTCTCAGCTTCCCGGAAGCATACAGCCACAGGAACAATCAGTATGGATACCTTGCGGGCTTTGGTGCTGGGGGGAATTGAGCACTTATGGACCTGTCCGGTGTGCCATGACGTTGTTGCCCAGGACAGGTAATACAGGTAATTTACACTCTACTGGAATGGAGCAATAAATCTTGAGAGATTCAAAAAATTAGATCTAGATAATAACTCTCAAACAAAATGCGCCTCGCGAAATATCAGTTCCGGCACTTCCACAGTTTTGTTTCGTTTCTCAGTGGAATAATCATAAAGGCCAAAGAAATACTGGAACTTTTCGTCAAATATATTGTTCTAAATTCAGGAAATGAATAAATAAACAATCGGGCTCCGTCATGGGGACCTAGATCTATCTATCTTTTTGCAAGTACTTGCCAATTTTCAACTCTGTAGCTGTCGTAGTTTTATGGGAAAAGTGACACATGTGTTTCCAAGTTGCCAAATATATAATAGATTATTATTGTCACATTATGTAGTTTGTTGGCCGAGTATTGTTAGAAAGAAGGACTGTGCTGTAAATACGATTTTTTAACACCTCTAGTAAAGCAGAGGAAGGCCCTTCGTCCGGGAGAGAAATGTCCTCAAATGTAACGCTGCGACTTAAAAAGACCCCATAAATAAATAAATAAATAAATAAATAAATAAATAAATAAATAAATAAATACATAAATAGATGAGTAAATGAATGAATAAATAAAATAAATAAATAAACAAAAATTATTATGACTTGGAAGGACATGTGGACATTATTATGGTTTTAACAAGCCAATGTAGTTGTTTGGCATATGCTGTGGTATTGTTTGCTCCTGCTTTCCTATTTAATATCTATTGTCCTCATATCTCCTTCTTTTTTATGTTTCTTACTCTCTTGCAACACCTCTAATCTTCGGCACTCATCATCATCATCATCATCATCATCATCATCATCATCATCATCATCATCATCATCATCATCATCATCATTGCCTTTCTCACCCTGCTCCAGGGTATAGGCCACAGACAAACACGTTCCACCTTTCTCTGTCCTGGGCTAGCCTCTTGATGTTGTTATTCCATGTCTTCCCACTTTTCTGTACATCAATTTTCTGTGATTCTTCTCCAGGTTCCACACCGTCTTCCTCTTGATCCTTTACCCTATGGATTCCAATCCAACATTTCCTTTGCTATGCAGCTGCCTGACTTCCTGAGAATATGTCCAATCCATCGCCACCGCCTTGTTCCTACCTCATCTATGACTGGGATCTGTCTTGTTTTCCTTAACACTTCCTCGTTGGTGACCCTGTCTGTCCATCTGATCCTTAGTATCTTTCTTAGACACTTGTTCAAGAAAACCTGGATCCTCTTTATGCAAGTCTGTGATGCGTTCCATGTCTCACACCCATACAACTAGACTGATTTCACATTTGAATTGAAAATCCGTCGGCACTAATAGGACCTAATTGTGTTGCAAGTGCCGTAAAATGCTTACTAAAATTTAAAAAAGTAATAAAACCAAAACCCAATCTTAAGTCGTCCAAAAGTTAAATCTAAAAAAGACCCTCCGTTTCATTCTTTCAAAAAGGGACGGCCTTTTTTTCGGGGAGGGGGGGGGGGGTATTATGGGGTTTCTTTTTGTTTTTTTGCTTTGTTTGGTTTTGTTGTTGTTGTTGTTTGTTTGCTTTTCTTTTCTTTTTCTTTTTTTTGTTCCACCTGAAAAATAGCCCTTCAACAAATCTACTCGTTCACGGGTCACAGAATCATTCCAACGACATACAGAATTGCGTCAGAAAAAAATAAAATCTGATTATTTCTAGTCTGTCCAACATTCTTCTTTCAGTCTATTGTTGTTCTGTCTGTCTGTCTGTCTTACTTTTTCCCCTGCGCTGTGTGACTACTGCCCCCTTCCCCACCAGGGCAGTGCTACTGACTGAAGTGTCTTTGGACCATTCCCTCAACAAAAAAAAGGGGGTGGGAGTATTAACATGTACTCATGCACAGTAGAATTGTAAATGGGCTGATTTGTCAATGTCATGCTCACACTGCCGAAACAACATAGGGGGAACTGCTGTTTT